TGTGACAAGAGAACATTTGTCATGGTCAGATCGCGTGAGTTTTCTTGTGTCTGCTTTTATGATGTTAATTGAAGAATCGAGGGTGGGTTTTCCCCCGTGTGCCCCACGAGTTTCTCTCGGTCATGTATGACTGTTGTGGTGTGTCGGGAGGAACCACGTGATGAAAGGAGTGTGTGAAACAAGGAAGCTAGTTTTTTGGGAGTGAACAGCGGCGAGTGCTGTGGATAGGGTGTATGCTTTTGGTTTTGTGGAGAGAGTGACAATTTTGTATGGATGGAAGAGGACTTAGGACTTGTGTAGCTCTATTTTGTATAGTATGTGTAGCATTTCTGGACACACTTTTTGATTCTGAACACCAGAGATTATTTCGTATGCAATTTTCCACTGTCATGCATATGGAGCTAATAAATAGTAAGAAACTTGAATCTATGAATCATTTGTTTTGATACTTAGAAAATTCATGACATCAGCTCTGTAGGAGCTAGAAATAAAGGGGTTTTAGACCCTTGAAAATTGTTCTGTGGCTACTACGCAGGGGACCGACCTCTAGACAACTTACAACATATCACAACATTCATGGGTTTGAAATGCACCTGAACAATGATGAATGTGACAAGAGAACATTCACAGGTCTGAATTGGCCCTGAACTTGCAAAGAGAACATTCACAGGTCTGAAGGAGCACAGCCAAAGTGTAATCAAAGAAATTGAAGACAGATTTAATGACTAATCTGTGGATACAAGTCGATTTGAGACACCCATTCAAAGATTTACCAAGCACCGATGACAGAAAGTTTTGTGGCACCGATGACAGAAAGTTTGTGGCACTGATGACAGAAAGTTTTGTGGCAGAGATGACAGACAGTTTGTAGCACCAATGACAGAAAGTTTTGTGGCACCGATGATAGAAAGTTTTGTGCTACCGATGACAGAAAGTTTTGTGGCACCGATGACAGAAAGTTTTGTGGTACCAATGATAGAAAGTTTTGTGGCACCGATGAAAGAAAGTTTTGTGGCACCGATGACAGAAAGTTTTGTTGCACCGATGACAGATAGTTTTGTGGCACTGATGACAGATAGTTTTGTGGCACCTTTCAGATTCTTCATGCCCACATGAAATCCTTCAAATATTTGCGTACACACACCATGCTTGGAAGTGGAACATACAAAGTGGGTGAAACCCCCCTGGCAAATATTTGGGCAGCTGCTGTGGGGTACTGTCGCTCTTGTAACAACAGCTTCATTAGATAGATCCTCTTCAGTTCAATGAACAGAATACTCAGCAAGGCCGGGAATAGAAAGCTGTCCAAATGTTCATGCATGTCTAATGTTAAGCATTGAAAGCCTGAGATTCCAACAAAGGAATTTCTTGAGATAACAGTTTGAGTTTTAAAGCAGATTTTTTAAAGTAGATTTTTAGTTAATTTTTTAAAGTAGATTTTTAGTTGATTTTTTTGCGATAAAGAAACCTTGATAATTAAGACTGTTTTAGAAAAATATTTTTAAAAAACTTTAAAAGATTTGCAGACCCGATTGCATCTTTAATTTTTGTTCAGCTTTAGGGATGTCAAAACTTTTCTGCTGCTTCTATTTAAATCTAGTAGAGAGATATGAGAACAAGCAAGATGGCCGCCTGCTTGACGACATAGGTGCAAAAGATCGAAAACTTACTAGCCAGTGACTTCAGCTACAAGTTCCTATTTGTAACAGTTCACTCAAGTTAAAAATCGCCCCGGCAGGTGCTCTTCCGGCTCCTTTTATCAACCCCTTCATTGAGATTGCCATAATCTACGGCTGCCCGTCAACAACGTTGATGTGCTAACATTGAATTAAACACACGTCACCAAGCATCTACCCTTTCCAAAGAAAACAGAAGGACCTCTATAAACGTGCCGTTGTCGCAGGAGACTTCAATGTTGCTGTTATAACAGAAGGACCTCTACAAACGTGCCATTGTCGCTGAAGACTGCAATCTTGCTGATTTTAACAACATAGGTAAATTTGATGGGTATAATGAAAGCACTAAAACTGCTATGACAATATAATAACTTTAAACTGAGTCACAAGATGGGAAATAAGAAACTATGCCAACCAGCCCATCTTTTACATACAATATCACCAAATCTCAGGTGACAATTTCATACAAATATGATAGGGAACTATATTATTATGCTTTTCCGGCTATTATCCAGCCTAATTTAATTATTATGTTACAATGAGTCATGTGATAACACAGGACTGCTTGTTTTTAGGTTAGAACAAATGTCCAAATGTATAACTTTAAAATTGTCATGGTTAAACCAGTTCATTTTAATCAGAATGTTTAGTTTTGTTGCTGTTTTGTTAATTTAATTTGCCGAGTATAAAATAAACCTCAAAGTTCTGTATGAGATATTAAGTTTTATGCGTTATATCCATATGATTCCATATTTATATAACATCTTATATAATGTTCAACGTGATCAAAACACATTTCTATTTGTTTAAAATCCACAAAAGAATTGTGTATTATTGTTCAGTTTTGTCATATTTTTGTTAATGACATCAAATGATATGAGTAAACAAAAAGATTGTCTTGAAATGACAAAGTCTTATTTTGTTTTTAATACAAGACGTTTGTCTTCAGAGACGCCCTGCTCCCAACCCCCTCCCTGAACTCATACTTTGCCTCTCTGCCATTGCGACCAAATTGTCTGAAAGAAACACTGCATATTTTTTAACCCTCTTGAGAAGGAGTCTTATTGGAGGACTTCCTGTGCCAAGAAGACAGAGCTCATAAACCATGCACTTGCTTTACAAATAAAATTATAAAAAATAAACTAATTACTTTACAAATATAAAACTATATAATATATTCTTTTAGAGAATTGAATAAACTCAGATGATCTTTATGAAACAAACTGAAATCACAACATTTATGCATGCAATTTATTTTTTACACTTAGAATAAACATATCTTACTTGCAGAATTTTGTTGAATTTTCTGATTGTTGAAGCCTAAATAAGTCTTTACAAGCATTTGAATGAAAATCATTTGGAAATACTAGGTGGTCACTGGATACCCAAAATATTGCTATAAACACCGTAAACTATCAATGGAAGCCACCATTAAAATATTGAGAGGAGCAAGAAATGTGAGAAGGAAACTGATTAGCTGGCACAAAGACCAGCCAGCCTCTCTCAAAACATGTATTATCAGGCAGATGTATCAGCCTTTCACCTTTTTCCACCATTCAACTCTTGGCTGATAGGTCGGCCCAGCCGTCTCAAGAGGGTTAATATTGTTTGAATATACTGAAATCATCCGTTTATTTTTTTTTTGTAAGCCATGAGATCTCAGTAATGAAAGGCTCTCACACCTTCACACACAGAACAAAATCTGAGGATAAATTATTTTTAGGCTCTAACATACATTGACTTTAACAATCAGTAGATTCGTTCTCTTCAACTTTCAATAAATAATATCATAAAAGAAAGACAGATTCCTAAAAAAAATCGCGCTCTTCAACTTTCAATAAATAATATCATAAAAGAAAGACAGAAACCTATCACATTTCAACCTGTGCAATGTATAACAAACTTGAAACAAGGTCTGCATGAGTTAATAATAGGTTGTCTGGGTTATATAAATATGATTCCATGAGATTGCACAACCTCGGGTTCTGTCTTCGATTCACATTAACAAAAAAAACAACAAGGAACAGAAGAACTGATTATAACCACCACAAAAGAAAACACATTACCGACAGGCGACACACCTCACTTGCACCGGTTCACATCAGGTGGGCGAGTGTTTAGTGTAAACATTTACTGACGGGTGAGACTCAGAAAACCTTCCAAAAGTCAAGTGATGGCTAATGATGATCTTTGCTGCTGCACTTGCTGCAGAGAATGTGATGAAAGGGCATGAGGAACATGACGACTCCACCAAAAACACAGAGAACTCCGGCAAGGATGATGCTCCCGTCAAATGCACCAGTGTTATCTTTGATCAGCCCTGAAACAACAAATCAAATGCACCAGTGTTATCTTTGATCAGCCCTGAAACAACAAATCGAATGCACCAGTGTTATCTTTGGTCAGCACTGAAAAAACAAATCAAATGCACCAGTGTTATCTTTGATCTGCCCTGCAACAAATGAGGAAATGTTTAATCTGGCTGTCTTGAACACACAAAGTTGAACATCTGCACAAATGATGTCAGAAGGTGCACAGCACAAATGGTTTGATTTGCCTAAATTTAGAAGTAATTGCTGAGGTATGTTACAGTAAAAGAAAAAAAATTAAACACAAGAAAAAGGGAAAGCTATCCAAAAAATTTTATTTATAATAATCTCAAGATCAAGAGAGGGATGATGGGATGGAGGGATGATGGGATGGAGGGATAATGGGATGGAGGGATGGAGGGATGATGGGATGGAGGGATGATGGGATGGAGGGATGATGGGATGGAGGGATGATGGGATGGAGGGATAATGGGATGGAGGGATGATGGGATGGAGGGATAATGGGATGGAGGGATGATGGGATGGAGGGATGATGGGATGGAGGGATGATGGGATGATGGGATGGAGGGGTGATGGGATAGAGGGATGATGGGATGGAGGGATGATGGGATGAAGGGATGATGGGATTGTGATGATGGGATGGAGGGATGATGGGATGGAGGGATGATGGGATGATGGGATGGAGGGGTGATGGGATAGAGGGATGATGGGATGGAGGGATGATGGGATGAAGGGATGATGGGATTGAGGGATGATGGGATTGAGGGATGATGGGATGGAGGGATGATGGGATGGAGGGATGATGGGATGGGATGGAGGGATGATGGGATGGAGGGATGATGGGATGGAGGGGAAGAGAGAGAATGAGAAGCGTTTTATTTTGAATTCGGATGAGAATTTCGTGTTTGCCTTTCTGAGATATTCTTTAATTCCAGTCATTTTTAATTCACATTATAATGACATGTTTTAATGTTAAAATATTTACAAGTTAAAGTTAACATGTTTCCTTTTTCAAACTTGTCTTACCTGCTAGAGGAGGTCCTATGAAAGTCCCCAGGCCATTAGATAGCATGAGATAGCCAAGGCCATTTCCGAGGCTCTCTATTCCAATGAGGTCAGTCAAGACCACAATTAGCAGCCCGAGTATCACTCCAAAGAAAATTCCACTTAAAACCAGACACAGTGTATAAAGGCCAATGTGGCCTAACATGGGGAATATAATCAGTAAAATTCCCATCAGGATATTGGAAACAGTGTAAAAGATCTGCCTGTTAACAAATTTGAAATTCCCAAAGACTCCACCGACTATTCCGCCAACAAAACATCCTAATCCAAATGCTCCGCTGAGCCACGCGGCTTCCATGGGCGTGAGACCCTTCTCTCTTAAAAACTCTGGGCCAAACGAGTTGATGATAGAGCAGCCGGCATTCCACATGATGTTACTACAAAAGTAGATGTTGAATCTACAGTTGGTGAAGATGAAAAAATGTCGTGAAGAATTGGGGACCGGTTTAGCATGATTGGTGATGACTTGGTCCAGTTCTTGATCAGGATTATTGGACAATGGTACAATGCCATCCACAGAAGAGTCTAGAACTAACACACTGGCGCCTCGTGTCGAGCCGACAGCATGCAAAGATGTCAATGACATGGAGTGAAGTTGGGTCATGTGATCTGGGAAATGTGTGGATTTGGCTGCTGGAATCAGTTTTTGAGCCTCGTGGCCCGCAGCTCTACTTCGGACTTGGCCATTCTGTTCTGATATGTTATGTGACCCTGATCTTTCTGAAAGTTCGTTGTTTGAGCTTAAACGGTCAGTACAATCAAATCTAGATGGATCCTGCTCATGAGCGACCTGTTCTTCATTTTCTTCCTCTGCAATACATATGTTACCCTCATTAGGGATTTCTGTAAAAGACAAGTAATGGTTTGAGGGTGGCATCATTCCTATTTCAAGAACTGATGTTTGCAGAGGCGGTGGTTTCCGCAGTAGGGCCGCGAAAACAAAAAGATGCAGGCAAAGACCAGCCACGACAATCAGTGACCCTTTCCACGTGTAATGCTCTATGAGCAGTCCAACCACCACCGGCATGATGGCTCCTCCTAGCCCTGAACCGCTAGTGCTCACCCCGGTCGCCAGGCTGCGATATTTATCATAATACAAACCACTCAGCACATGTGAGGGAATGTAGGTACAACAGCAGCCGAATCCTAAAGGAAAAAATGAACAGGGAAAATTCTATGAATTACATTAATTTTCAATCAAAATTTTTTTTTAAAAATATATATTTAGCTGTAACTGTAAAAAACAACAGCACAATAAGGAAGTTCTCAACTCAATACAATATCTATTTTAGTCAAATCGGATCAACAACCATGAGGTGAAACCACAGATTGAAAAGAACTGGTTGAAGCATTACCATCAAAATATTAAGCCCTTTTTTTTAGTCCTATCCCCCATATGACACTGTCTATATCACTTTAATCACAGTCAAAACTTTTGAAAATCCTAATAAAATAACCCCATATAAAACGTGGCAAATGCATCAATATTTGACTCATACACTATTTTTTAATAAACGTAATACTAACTGCATAGTTAAATAATTATAAGATACAGGAATAAAAATGGCATGCAATTTTATTATTGAAGTTTTTGTTAAAAGCATGGGGGCTAACTCAAATATCTTGGGAAAAACTGTTCTTAAATCTTCATATGAGACTAATGATTCATTTTTTTAAATTTCCCATTATTCTATTATGGGTAAGAATATGTTTTTAGACCTGAAAATTGGACTCACAGAGTGAGCAAAGATTAACATATCACAAAGAATACAGATGCCTACTGAACCCCTTCCATCCCCCTTTATTAAAAGAATGTCTGACCCTTGATATCATTAATGTTCTGCTCCCTTGGCAAACATGCAGTCATCTCTCAAACATGCAGTCATCTTTCAAATATGCAGTCATCTTTCAAACATGCAGTCATCTCTCAAACATGCTGTCATCTCTCAAACATGCAGTCATCTCTCAAACATGCATTTATCTCGCAACCATGCAGTCATCTTTCAAACATGCAGTCATCTTTCAAACAGCCAGTCATCTCTCAAACATGCTGTCATATTTCAAACAAACATGCAGTCATCTTTCAAACATACAGTCATCTTTCAAACATGCAGTCATCTTTCAAACATGCAGTCATCTTTCAAACATGCAGTCATCTTTCAAACATACAGTTGTCTTTCAAACATCCAGTCATCTCTCAAACATGCAGTCATATTTCAAACATGCAGTCATCTTTCAAACATGCAGTCATCTTTCAATCATGCAGTCATCTCTCAAACATACAGTCATCTTTCAAACATGCAGTCATCTCTCAAACATGCTGCTACAATGCTTCATATCTATAACATATCCCCAATAGCTAAGAACAGTTCACACTTCTCAAACTTTGACACTGACTCAGAGCAGCAATGCTAAAGTTTTAGCTACACAGAAACAGATGGCTCAACTTAAAGGAATAAATCTTAGTTTTTTTTTACTTATGCACCTGTGAGAACTCCAAAGCAGATACACATAGCGGGTATGTAAGGTAGGATTGGCATGCCAATGAGACCCACAGCTATCAGCAGTGATCCAGCCAAAGCAATCTGTCTGTAACTAAACTTTGTCATCAAGAAACTAACGATTGGACCTTAAAAGAAACAATAAATATGCTCATTAAAAACAATATTCAGATAAAACTATTGTCATAAATCTTCAAGCACCTATTCATTAAATCCAAAACATAAAAGATTACTGCAATACAGTTTCAGGGTCAACTGAGTCACAGGAAACTTAATGATTTTTAGTCCTTCTCTAACCATAAAGTGATGTCATTATGATGTTGCCATGGAGATTTTCAGCCATCTCCTTTATTGAAGTGGTGTTTTTCTTGATTGTTTTTTTTTTTGTCTCATAATTAAATTTTGCAAAAGGACAGTTTTTTTTACTTTTGTATTAATTAAATTGAAAATAACCAGAAATATTTTATCATATATAGGGTCAGATCTTCAGATGGTGTCCATTTAATGCCCTTCAGATGCGACCGGAGACCCACAGAGTGCTCTTTAGTTTGAAAAATTAAAATTGAACTCACCTGAGCCTAAGAACACGCCATAATTAATTGAACCAATCAAAGAGACACCAACTGTGGCCCCATCAAAGTAGTCCAAGAGCTCTATGTTGTAGACTCCAATGGCTGCTGTAGTACCAAATGCAAGAACTTGAATCATGAATGCTGCCAGGCAAATAACTAGGCCCCAACTTCCTCCCTCCATTTTCCTTTGATAACCCAGGTCGTAGTGATCTCTACAATAAAACTGGCTTACTTTGATTGATCGTAGAGAGAACAAGTTTTGTTTTGGATTGGACGTTCTCTGCCTCCGCTGTGGAATATTTGATCATATAAATGTGGCATTTAAAGAAATTACTAAGGTTCTCAAGTTGCCAGGGTCCTTCTGGACATTTGAGACTCCTGCTCATCGCACATATTATCTAATGTAGTAAACACTCTTTCAATACGGTATAGAAGTACCAGGGAGACAAGAAATATAATTTACTCAAACACTAAGATATTACTGTCCTTCTTTGCAATTAGGATGAACAAAAGAAATTGCCACTTTCTTTACATTTTATTGTGACACTTTGCCCTCATCTCTGCCTTATAATTTAAATATCTCTTATAATAATTGATATTCAAAATAGTCAAATCATATTAAACTAGGTGAAATGCAAAGGTTGGCTTTTATTATGCAGCAAGGAGAAGCTCTGTTTCTGTTGTTTCATGAGAACATTCACACATAAACTTTTTAGGAAAGAGTATTTTACTCAAATACTCTTTCTGACATGGTAAAAGGTGAATTTTTAGAAAGGACAGTTTCACAATCTATCTATGCTACAAATAAGGATATGGGCAAAAGCTACAACTACTACAAGATATGGCTAAAATCTTACTTTTTCAACATGGTCGTTGTTGCACTTCCCAGAGTACTGTACCAACAATACATTGTATTATTAATATTAACATAGAAACATAGTTCTTTTTTTAGTTAAACGTGTAGTGAAAGTTTAGGTACAATTCTTCCTCTACCGTCTACCTTGGCCTTCATGGTGGTTCTGGTGAGTGTTGTGTAAAAGTAAGAGGCAAATGCAAAGGGCATCTGTCGCCATGTTGTTTCCAGCGAAAACAATGTGATTGTGAATTGCTTTAATTTTAAGAACCGGTCGAACGTGTAGACACTTCGGTAAGCCGACACTTCGTATATTTTAAGGCCTATATTGGTATCTATAATTATAATCAACAAAATAAGTTAATTTCCATATATTGACTTTAAAATAATGCTTTTTCTTGGGCCTATCAATACAGTATTACTATTAGATTAGTTTAAATAATAAAGTCAATCATCTTATTGTTTCCCCTATTGCTTCCAATCACTAGTATCCTAGTATCGGGTTCAATAATTTATATGGTTTTAATTAGTTTAAAATTCTTTGGTAATGTGTGTCTATTTTCTATAATGTATTTAATACCAATTTTAACTCTACGAGCAAGAATAGAATCAAATGATTGGCTGCAATATCCATAAATCCTCAGAAGTCGAGTTCCAGTATTCGAATACCAGTGGCTCTCGAAATAATGATTTTACTATTTAATAGGATGTGCCTATTTTCTTCTTTTGCCTCTGTTACAGATATAGAAGGAAATTAAAGACACAATTCACATTATGGTGGCCTTCTTTAATTATTTTTAATGCTGCATTGGGTGCAAATATTCAAATAATTTTAACGTGTGTATGCTTTGGCATCCGTCAATGGAGCCTGGAGTCACCCTTAAAAAATGATGGTGTGGTTTGGTTTTCGTGGAAAGTTGCGAGTCCATAAGTCCTGAGTGAGGTGTTTTATGGAGAAAAATTCAGCTGAGAACCTAAGGGAGCTTCAAATGGATGACGTCGTAACTTCGCCAATGACGTCTCAGAAATTGACGTAAGTTTCATACCACGAAAAAAAAAAAGGGGGGGTGGGACGACGACGACTCCAGCTCCGGATTTTTATGTTGGGTTTGAGATCCACAGCCTTTTACGTACAATTATGGCAATTATGGGGTTTGTAATACATAACAAGTTAATGAGTTCGTATAGTACTAAAAACTCATTTGATCATTTGGCGACTGGCAGACTAGTAGACTACTTGGCTTGGTGATGGTGGCTTTTTAAGTTTTAAATCCTATTAGCCTATTAATCAACATTTTAACAAATTGTAATACATGTATATAAATTGTTAGTAACTGTTTGTTTTCCATAAATGTGCATATAAAATAACACTAAATGACTCGCTTAAAATACTGAAATAAATCCCTGTCAAGTTAAGTGTAAGTACTCCGATCTAGATGAACGTCCTTTAAAATTAATTTAGAACCACTGACCTTTCATTTTCTTCATTGAGTTTTTTAACTGCTACTTTTACTGCGATAAGGTTTGTTTATTTACATATATATTAGTTGTCGGTCTCGCCGTCTCGGTTTCAGGTCAGTAAGTTGTAGTAAAGCAGGATATAGATCATAGTTTGTAGGATCAGGATTCCCAGCTGAGCTAATAATAATTTTACCTCATCTAGAGATCTAAAGAAGAAATCGTATTAAGTAAGTGCTGTATGAGCCTTCGCCTACAAATTTTAAGGAGTTAATTAATTAATTTAATTAAGTTTAAGCTCAGCACCACCACGTCCACACACTTCACACACAGAAATTTTAGGAATGGCAGGAAAAACACAGGTCACAGGTTTTTAATAATCATAATAATATTCATAATATTATTAATATATGTATATGAACTTCTATACTATTCTATAGTCTAATAAAAGTTTGTTAGTGTTACTGTTAGTTAATAAGGTACTTCAATTTTAATTCACCGCAAAAATTATCATTACTGCTATTCTATGGCTATATGCAGTTATATCCGGTTTAATAAATACAACTGCTTCTGTAGACACCATGAATTATTTGACAATTTCTGCATTAGTTCACAAAGAAGTCAGTTTTATTATTTATCTTGTTTCTACAACAACACAGTATTGTACATGCTGTCAGACGATGTGCTAACAACCACAACGGTAACGAAATGCCAATACTCAACACATCAAGCATACGTGGAAATTGGCAAAAGAAAGAAACAATGGCACTCACAGACATATGCTCGATTCTTATATGTGTGGGTTCATTTGGCATCGACGTGTTAAAGTTAAAGCAAATGATTTGAATTTATTCAACGCCATTCTAGGCGATATTGTTCAAATTTGGCCACCACAAAAAGCGGAGGACTTTAAAAGAAGTAAAAAATATGTTTTAGTGCAAAAGAAAATTTTTTTATTGGAAGTGTGAAGTGTTTTAATGGAAATGTGAAATAGTATATAATGTACAACAATTTTTGAGTTGAATTAAACGGTTTTTTTTTAACGAAAATTTGTTTTATTGGAAATGTAAATAATAATAATTTTTGCAGTGAATTAAAATTGAAGTACCGTTAATAATAATGGCTTATTTTTAACAGTTCTACTATTAGTGTTATTAGAATTTAAGCCCAGGCCTAGACCAATTAACTTAAAGTAATTTTTTCAATTTAATCTTGTGTTACCGGTACATGATGAGAGTCACACTGTGGCCGTGGCTAGTGGCGCTTAACAATTACAATTACAACATTAAGAAATCAATCTCTTACTATTTAATGCAGTACAGGGTATACATAATCAATGGTAGTCCACTGACCACTCTATTAAAAATTTTATTTGGTTGTTGATGCCAAAACCTTATTTGGAAATTGTTCCCATTTTTGATTATTGGCAATTTTAATGATTAATGACTTCTTGATTTTTTAAATTAATGTTAAGAGCTAAGGGGCCATCCATATACATTATGTAACCACTGAGGGCATGTTATTTTGTAGATAATGCATACAGACTTTGGACCCCCACAAATTTCAAAATAATTATATCAATTTCCACCCTAAGTGGGCACTGCCTCAATTGATTTACTCAGCCTCAGCATGGCCCTGCCAATAACATATGACAAGGTAGGGTGGGTTTCAGCAGATCAGATATTATGTAGGCCTATATTTATGCTCAAATTCTGCAAGAATTATCTTGAAAGTCTAATAGTCCATAAAAGCCTATTTATACCTCTAATAAAACCATCTCTTACCTAAAACATCTGTGAAAGCCATGATTTTTTTTAAGGCTATAAAAAATATCTCGGCAATCTTTCATAATTATAATCAAACTTTTCCTTTGTGCTTCTACAAGAGAACACTAGTAGCAACATTTAGCCCAGCATTCGCATTTTTTAGACAATATAGTGCTACTGGGTAGAAACGGTAATGACATAATTAAAGCATTCAGGGAACTTGAAAGGCCTCAGTCAAGGCTGGTCTTGATATAAATGAACCGAAATAAACAACCACAAATTTGAGAGTGGCTACATTCAAATATCTAGGGGCAACTATAAACGAGCACAATGAAATAATTTGGGAGGTGAAAGAAAGGATAGCAGCAGGCAACCGTTCCTATTTCAACCTACAAAAGCTACTGGGAAGCAAAAACCTCTTAAGGGGAACAAAAAAGACAATATACACTACTATCATAAGACCAGTAGTAACTTACGCTAGTGAGGCTTGGACCCTTACCAAAAAAGCAGAGAACCTTCTCAATTCATGGGAGAGGAAAATCCTCAGAAAAATATACAGCCTAATGATGGAAAATGATATCTGGAGAATCCGTGCAAACCAAGAGCTATACGAATTGTACAAAGACCCACCCATAGTCACAACAATAAAAAAAGGCAGACTGCGCTCTGCAGGACATTTTGAAAGGATGCCGGAATGTAGAGCAGCAAAGGTGATTTACAGGCAGAAACCTAGGGGCAGACGATTCACTGGTCACACAAGGCTGAGATGGATCGACAATGTGAAGAGGGATTCACACCAGTTGGGGGATCGCACATGGAGGCGGAAGGCCATGGATCGATCCATATGGAAGGATGTGGTGGAGCTGGCGAGGGCCCTTCATGGGCTGTAGCGCCACTGATGATGATGATTTGCTTTTTTTTATGTTTCCGTATGTGTGACGTAGTGATTTTGTTTAGCTACACTAGGGAATCCAAAATGTTCCCTTTTCCTTGTCAAATTTGTATAAAAATATTTTTAGGGGGGGTGGGGGAGGGAGTGTACGTGATTTTTTTTAAAAAAGGAAAAATTTCATACTTTTGTGCTTATTAATTTGCTGTTAAGCTCATTTGTAGGTACACGGTACACAGAGTGGGGTTGTCCAAAATAAAAAGTCTGGGGGACACAAGGTTGGGGGTGGGGGTCGTTTGTTTAAAATTTTACTTTTTTTGCATACATAATATATAGTAACCCTAGCAGTTTTTCTGTTATTTATTTTAAACTCATGTTTTATTGTTTTTTGTTTTGTGTCTGCAACCCTTTGTCCTCTAACTCTTTTGCTATGTCAGCAGCAAAGTACAAACAAGTCTTGAGTGGAAGGTTCCACTGGATCAAAAAAGTTGTAGCCTGTCTGTTGAGCAGGAATGCATTAAGTCATAATCCAGACATTATCAAAAATGGTTCTGCGATCTGTATGTTCATTATTAAGAATACCGTAATTATATTTTTTCTGCCATTCCACTGTACATAGTACCTTCCAATGAGCCACTCTGTTCTGGCTTCTGCATGCCTTTTTTTTAAATTGATAAATTATTAAATATGTAGACTACAAGTATAAGTTCATTTCTGTACTTTAAACAGTAAGTTTAAGCACAGAATTTATTTGAGTAATGCATTTTAAGAAGTTTTAAATGATTTTCTTCTCTTTAATGGGTTTAAACTCATCTTTGATAGAAAGTCTTCTTTCTTTTTCTTTTTTTTTAAATTTTTGTCACCAATTTAAGGCTTTTCCTTTTTCTGACATTCTTCTGTCATTCCATGATTCACCACTCCATTCTACTTTTTTTTTAAAGCCCTTAATGTTTTAGTTACATTTTGATTTTCCATGGATCTTTGGTCAACTGGTGAACCTTGCATGATTTTTTCTCTGGATTTACTCTTAAAGACTTCTCCCAGAGTAAGGTGTAAGTGCAAGACAAAAGAGGTTTTAAGTTAGGAGCATACCTCATCTTAGTTTAGGTGCTACCCAAGATTAATGAGCCTTAATTCCCTAATGCTGCCGGCTATAGGGCACCAGCTAACTCCCCCCCCCTCCCCTCATGCCCCTTTCCTGCCATTAGAAATTACACCCTCACTAGAGACTATATAATAATAATAAAGTTCATTTCAAAAACACGCTTCATCCCCAAAGGCTCGAAGCGCGGTACAAAGTCAACACAAAACAAATCTATAATTTACCACATTTAAAACAAACGCAACATTACAAAAACTAATTACAAGCATACAATGTCAAAGTCTTTCTAGCCATTTCAACCATAAGCAACACAGCCATTATGCATTAACTGGAAAATAAGGTAGACAATCATCCCAGAAGGTGTTTGCAAAATAGATGTGTCTTTAAATCGGTTTTAAAGGACTCCAGTGTCTGGTTGTTTCTGAGATCGACAGGAAGGGCGTTCCAAATTGTTGGACCAGCAAATGCGAAAGTGCGCTTTCCGTAAGTCTCAAGGCAAACACGTGGTGTCGAGAGTTTGCCACTATCGGATGAGCGGAGCTCTCTAGTGGGTACATAAGGCGTCAGCAGCTCTTTCAGATAGGACGGCGCCAGGTCATGTAAGCGGCGGTAGCACAAAGTTGCAATTTTGTACTCTATGCGAGCATGACCGGCAGCCAGTGCAACTCTCTCAGAAGTGTTTTTGCATGGTCGAACTTGCGTTTGCGGAGAACAATGCGAGCCGCATTATTCTGTGCTATTTGAAACACAAAAAGACCAGGACCTGGACTTCCTTGTCAGAGACCATAAAAGAAATAGCCTTTTAAGAAAGCTTTTTATTGGAATTCAGATCTCCACCTTTGCTACCATTCTTGCCTGAATATATATTTTTGAGAGAGGAAGCAACAAAAAAAAGATAAAAGTATACACACAAAATATGTGGGGCTGGGCATTAAAAACTCATCCCCAGTTGGAAACAGATCATGACACCTGGGCCTATTCTTGAAAAAGTTAGACGAGGAACTGAGAACATGAAAATTTGCAGGCTGCAATGAAAAAGTCAGATAACTAATACAAGTTTGTGGGTAATTTAGTGCTCAAATATCTTGCAGCCTCTATGTTGAAGAAACTTTGGCAAAACTAAACATGACCAATAGACTGGAAAAGAATGTTATATACAACATGACCAACAAATTGGAAAAGAATGTTATTTACAACATGACCAACAGCTTGGAAAAGAATGTTAAATACCACCCCTGAAGCAGGCCACCTTGAAAAAAGTGAGGAGGAAGCATTAGGGAATCAAGTATTTAAAGACTTTATATTTAGAGTTTAGAAGCTAATAAATATCCCTGCCCATCTCTACTCCTTAATATTTAAAGTTTAGAAGCTAATAAATATCCCTGTACATCTCTACTCTTTTATATTTAAAGTTTAGAAGCTAATAAATATCCCTGCCCATCTCTACTCTTTTATATTATAAGTTTAGAAGCTAACAAATATCCCTGCCCATCTCTACTCTTTTATATTTAAAGTTTAGAAGTTAATAAATATCCCTGCCCATCTCTACTTCTTTGAATTGCATAAAAAAAATAACAACATAAATTTTTAAAATTTATTTATGCTCAGAATTTAATAATTTATTTGCAATTTCAGTCATCACAATAAAAAGAAAACCTTTCTTTTTAATGCCCAGTTAACCAATTTTTTTTAATAGTTTTTTTATGTTTGATCTGTCTATTTAAGTGCTTTCTTATATTGAAGGTTAAGCAGAAGAGAAGATAGATCATCATTGAATTATCTCCCAGTAGCCGTTTACAAAATATGTGTATTGTTTTACTTGAAATTTAATTTCTGGCAAGCTTCTCTCAGCACAAAATATTGAAATTAAATGGATACCTATCCCCATATCTAGAATCAATATAAAAATTGTATTGCTTATCAGCTGGTAAGTGTAGGCTTTAGCTATAATTCTTGCTTAAAGCAAAGTTAGCAGTATCACTGGGAACATTTTCACGACCGCACCTGCTCTACAACCCACTCTGACATTTATGGGGGCCCTAAATAGGGAGGAAAGTCCTAGAACAATAGATAGCAGTCGGAGTTTCTTATCCGGTCGGTTGCTGTCGTGAAACATTTTCTCAGTTTTGTGCAGGATTTGTTTCAAGGAATCAGTGGTTCATTAACATTCCTAACACATTTTATTTGAAATTTGTTGCACACGTAATGTTGTCATATGCGTTCTAAATTCTATTCACTGAGTTCTCGATTTAAAATATAAAAGAGCGACATCCAACAATTATGTTGGTGGTGAAATATTGATGATTGGCTTGAAACTTTTTCATACAGGAATATACAGTTTCAATAATCTTTACTTCATACTAGTTTATTAAATCATTTTCATCTTCATTTCAGACTCCCCAATTTTCAGAATATCATGCTTCACTCAAGAATTTTTTTAATTCTTCATATTGGTCTTATTTACTTTTAGCTGTGTAGTTTCTTCCAGGTCATAAGGAGCATTTAATATGAGACAACCGTGTTGTTATTTTTTGTTTCTAAGCACTGCTTAACTTCCTGGCTAGAAAATGCCACGATGTGGTTCCTGGCGATGTGGGTCTGGTCTTAAACTGGTTGTGCTATCCAGTTATTCTAATAATCCCATCCTTTCTCTCTCTCAACAGGTGTTATTGTCAAAACTGTTAAACATGACCGAAGCAGCAGCCGCAAACAACAAGTTTGGTCTTGATCTCTTCAAGACCATTTATGATGGGAGCAAAGGCAAGAACAATTTTTTGTCACCATTCAGCATCTCCGTAGCCCTGGCCATGACACAATTGGGAGCTCGCGAAACAACTGCACAGGCTATGGCAAAAACATTGCGATGGGAGACGGCGGATGAAACCAAAATTCATAAGCAGTTTCAGGCATATTTAAAGCTCCTGCAAAAACCAAGTGATGCTTATCAACTGTCTACTGGCAATCGGATCTACTTGGAGCAAAGCTACCCTATTTTGGATGAATTCAAAAGCCAAACCCAGGAATGGTATCTTGCAGGTAAATTATGGTTTAATTTTTGCTTCGCACTTGTTATTTTCTTAAAATTTCTGACTAGTGGTGTTCACTACCAGTAAGCAAAATATTTTGTTAATACTTTTTAAATTAGTCAATCTCTTAGGTGTTAAAAAAAGAGTTTATAAATAGCAAAGATAAAACATTTTTTCTTTCTCAATTTAAAGATTAGGTGTAGAATAATGGTCCTCAAGGCTCCTAATACAGTGACCCTTTAATGCAGTTCCTTAAGTTGTGGTGACCCCCAACCATAAAATTATTTTTGTTGCTAGTTCATAAATATGTGGTTTCCCATGGTCTGTGTAAGGGTCGTCCAACACCCAAAGGGGTCACAACCCACAGGTCGAGAACCGCTGGTCTAAAAGTCAACCATTAATTTATCTTTTTTAAAATCTTGTTCCAAGTGGTCTCCCTTTTCAATAATTGGAATCTAAGACCTAACAATTACTTTTTTTTTTTTTAACTTATGAAAAAAAACTGCTGCAATCTTTCTTTAAAAACTTTTTTTCACACCTAGAATCAATAATCTGACTTCAATTGCATTACACAGTTCACAAATTTTTAATAAAAGCAATTTAATTGATATTATCTTTGGCGGAATTCATTTAAATTTTCCTTGAAGAAATTGCAGGCTCATTATTTGAAAAACAACAAAGAGTTGTTTAATTAGTTAATGATCAAAAGTGGGTATTGTTGTTTTTTTAAGTTAAGAAAACTCTATCACATAACTCTAGCTGTAAATATGCCTCTTATTGCACAAAATATAAATGTTTAAAGTTCTTTAAAAAGAAGTTGACAACAAAGTTCATAAGTCAAATTGAGGTTTAACATAATAAATTTAACTGATGTTTAAAACAATAAGTTTAACTGATGTTTAAAACAATAAGTCAACTGATGTTTAAAACAATACGTTAACTGATGTTTAAAACAATAAGTTTAACTGATGTTTAAAACAATAAGTCAACTGATATTTAAAACTATTAGTTTAACTAATGTTTAAAACTATTAGTTTAACTGATGTTTAAAACAATAAGTTTAACTGATGTTTAAAACAATAAGTTTAACTGATATTTAAAACTATTAGTTTAACTGATGTTTAAAACAATAAGTCAACTGATATTTAAAACTATTAGTTTAACTAATGTTTAAAACTATTAGTTTAACTGATGTTTAAAACAATAAGTTTAACTGATGTTTAAAACAATAAGTTTAACTGATGTTTAAAACAATATAGGAGCCAGAATGATCAATTCATTGATCGTGGGCCCTTAAAATAAAGAAGAAGAATAAGTCAACTGATATTTAAAACTATTAGTTTAACTGATGTTTAAAACAATAAGTTTAACTGATGTTTAAAACAATAAGTTTAACTGATATTTAAAACTATTAGTTTAACTAATGTTTAAAACTATTAGTTTAACTGATGTTTAAAGCTATTAGTTAAACTGATGTTTAAAACAATAAGTCAACTGATGTTTAAAACAATAAGTTAACTGATGTTTAAAGCTATTAGTTAAACTGATGTTTAAAACAATAAGTTTAACTGATGTTTAAAACAATAAGTTTAACTGATGTTTAAAACAATAAGTCAACTGATATTTAAAACTATTAGTTTAACTAATGTTTAAAACTATTAGTTTAACTGATGTTTAAAGCTATTAGTTAAACTGATGTTTAAAACAATAAGTCAACTGATGTTTAAAACAATAAGTTAACTGATGTTTAAAACAATAAGTAATAAGTTAACTGATGTTTAAAACAATGAGTTAACTGATGTTTAAAACAATAAGTCAGCTGATGTTTAAAAGAAATGAAACATTTTAAAATACATGTTGTTATTTTCCTAATGTTTTCTTTTAGAACCAGTCAATGCAGACTTTATCAATAATGCTGATCAAGAAAGAACTAATATCAACACTTGGGTAGCTGAGCAAACGCAAAAAAAAATTAAAGACTTGCTTCCTCCAGGGATTCTCAACGCTCTTACTCGTATGGTCCTGGTCAATGCTGTTTATTTTAAAGGTATTCTTATGCACAAATATGTATATACAAAGCTTTTCAAAAATTTGTTTTTCATAACACAGTGCTATTACTATTTAAGTTTTAATATTTTGAAGTAACAAAATTGGCATTATATTTTTTGTTTTTTTATCTTCAAATCATCTTTAGGATGAATCTTTTGGCTTTTCATTCTGCAGTAGTTGAACTTTCCGATTCTTTTTTTTTTATCCTCACCCTGCAGGCAAGTGGCACATGCAGTTCAACGACAAGAACACCCGTCCATCACCATTTAAAATAGCCCCCGGGGAAACAAAAGATGTTCCTATGATGTCTCTCACCTCTGTGTTCCCATTTGCCCACGATGAGGAGCTCAAATTTACAGCTGTTGAGCTTCCTTATCAAGGAAAAGAGCTCGGCATGGTCATCATTCTTCCCGATGAAGATTTTGGTCTTCAGGTAAAACCTTCTCAAACTTCACAGGTGTATTTTTAATGAGAGCCACACAAAATCACTTCTAACTTTTTGTGTATTATTTGAGGGGCCCGCGATCAATTTGTTGATTATTCTGGCTCCTTAACTGAACTATGCATACATAAAATATTTTAAATATTCAGTTTTGAGCCAGGGGCCCTATGTTCTTTTTTTCTAATATGAGCTATTTCTTCTTCTTTTTTTCTTGTATTTGAGGGGCCCACGATCAATTTGTTGATCATTCTGGCTCCTGAACTGAACTATGCATATATTTTTTTTTAAGAATGGTTAATTATAATTTATTTATTTTGTTTTTTATTAGGGCATAAAGGTTATCGAAAGGGGTTATAGAATGGTTAGTTACTAAAATATGTATTACTGAGAAAATAACTATTATCCAACAATCTTTAACGTTGTTAGTCAGTTTTAAATATTACAATAACATCACCTATAATTTTACAAATCTTTCCAAGTTAGGTTTTAGAAAATACAAGAGCAAATTTTTTGCCTTAATAATTTTTTTACCTTCTTATGGATCTTTTTAATTTTTTGAGTTAGTTTTCTTGTTGATGGCTACATGTTCCTAATTGTCTGCACCTGCCAGACCTCATGTTTACTTTCTGTTTCTTTAGGAGCTTGTGCAAAAGTTGACTTGGGAAAAGCTGAGCAAGCTCTTTGAGAACCTGGGAAAACCAGGTCTGAAAATTCAGCTGACCATGCCTAAGTTTGAGGTAACCAATTGCATGACAAAAACTCCTGGCCCGCAGCCCTCTTCTGATTACCTCCCTTCCTATCTTTTATATAATATTCAGAACCTGGCCTTTTCTTTTTATGTTCTAATAGACATTGATTCTTATCCAAAGAGGTGCATTTCCCTGTGTGCCACTCTCTGCTCTAAGAATATATTCAATAAGTAGGGCCTGAAGCTAATGCCATTTATCTCTATTATATATAATTTTATATATGTATACACTTTCTCTCTCTCTCTATGTATATATTTTTTTCTCTACACTTTCTGTCCCCCTTTCTCTCTGTATATATATTTTTTCTATACACTTTCTCCGTCTCTCTCTCTCTCTCTCTATACATATATATTTTTTTAAATTATTAACCTTATGTGTAATCTAAATGAAAGTATGAAATTTATCAAATATATTTGCATGCTTAGACTCAAAAATGGCTTTTAATCTTAAATGAAATTTAGAAGAAAAAAAACAGATACCTATATTTTCCTAGTCTATGGAAGTGATCTCAAATCATTGAAGTGACATAGAATGAATGATTAATTTCATTTCTTTTACAGATTGTTAATCAGTTTGAAATTTACATAATATTATAGTTTAAATGTTTGCATTAAGCAGACTAATCAAAGTATGGATGAAGAAGAAGTGTGAAGGAAAATAGAAAACAATGATCCCTGAATCAGTGGAGCGAGCCGAGCCTTTGAGCATTTTAGTGAATAAAATCATAACAGTTATCTTCATTATCAGCTTATAAATAAACATTAGTTAATTATTTTGTTTGTTTGCCAGAACTCTGAAGTCTATGATTTATTATATTTTTTAGGAGTTAAGAATCATATGCCCTCAGTGAGATACAGACATTTTTGTAATGTATGAATCTACTCCCCTGTCGGTATCAAAACCTAGGCTGTAGATAATGTTTGGTTGTTGATTTTATTTGACCTAATTATATTAAATTCTCAGAGTCAGAGCTAATTGGTGAGTTAATGTCTAAATGAAGTCTCAGATAATTTTTCTTAGACATTTTGAAATAGCAAACCAGGCGAGACTTGAACATCATGTAAGAATGAAAATATAATTATAAGTACTAAGTTTTATAAAAATTTGTGTTATACGGTAACTGAAAGATCCTATGACGTACTGCATCTACGCATATGAATATTAGTAGCAAATATAAGTATGCTTGAATTCAATCTAATAAAATGTAATGATGCATATAAATACTAATCTACTAAATACTAATTATACAACTTCAACTTCTACAAAATCTACATCACATCTACCTTCATATTATCTTGTTAAATACCTTCTTTTTTTTTCTACACAGATAAGAACTGTTACTTTTAGCAAACTAACAAATAAGATAAGATAAGATAAGATATTTTTTATTGATCCAACTAAATGGAAATTTTGTTTACGTTCATTGTACCGGGTACATATTTTTTCAGTCCTGAAAATACTTTTTTGAGTTTTTCATTGTTCTTGAAATTAGTCTGTAGAAAGACTTTCAGCGAATAATTTTGCGGCATGAATAACTATTGTGTTCTTGAGTGTGAGTTGTAATTTTGAACAGAGTTGTCTTTTTGTTTGAACAGAATGAATGCAGTGATACTAACTGATGCTAAAGTTGATGATGTCATGTTTTGTCATCAGAGTGTTGCTGTGGTCTTTTTAACATCCGACCTTACAAAAATTACAGTGCCCATCGGCTTCTCACTAACCTAAAAAGCTACTGTAGCCTTTCCAGCGTCGGGACAATTTTTTGTTCTTCGTTATTAAAAAATTATCTACCCGGTACATAAAACTGTGTAAAGTAGTTCTTGTGCATAACTGAACATTGTTTTGCAGTCATACAGTTCTGTATTAGCTAAACAGCATGCCTCACATGGAGTTCAACCCCAGTGTTGATTTTTTAACAATATCAGTGGCTTAAGTTTAGAATAAACTGAACTTTTTATTTTGATTACATTACTTCTTTTAATATACCGGTATTTTACTTTCATTCCTAATGAAAAAAAAAAATAAATGTAATCTTTTCTGTTTGATATATTGCATTTCGGTACCGGTATAAAAAAATAATTCTGTTTAAGTGCCCATATTTAGGAATTATGTGCGCCCCAAAAAGAATTTTATCACATGCATAAATAATAATGTTGGCCGGTTATCAGCGGTTTGCAATTCTTACTGAACTGAATGACATGCCCTGCACTCGCTGCGCCATCTAAATACATATTTCTATAATGAAGGAAACCAATATCAGCAGCGATTTCTGCTCTTTTTCGCTCTAAAACCATGCACCCCCACGCACACATTTTTTTAGCTGAGGATACCTTGAGAATTTCAGAATTTTTTAATCAAATAACTTCCCAAAAAAAAGAAAAAGGAGAGCCCTTGAACTTTGAACCGGTGTCATTAAATTTGTGCTGGTAGACATCTTTTAAAAGCCTCTTTGCTCATCAGGTGATCAGCACTTATAATTTGAAGTCCCAGCTGACAGCTCTTGGCATGGGCAAAGCCTTTGGGTCTGGATCGGCTAACTTTAAAGGAATTTCAGACCGATCTGAGTTTTGCATCTCCGCTTTCCTCTACACCGCTTACATCCTGGTCACTGAGCAGGGCTCACAGTTCTCTATGTCCTCTGATGCAATCATGTCCAGATGTTCCTCGCAAAACGCTATCCTACCTCCGGTGGTTAATATTGACTGCCCATTCCTGTTTATAATCAGACATCTTGAAGATAACAGAATTTTATTTTTGGGACACATGAACGACCCTCCATCTTGAATAAGTTAATCATCCTCTGGGCAACCCCAAATGCACTCTATGTATTTTTGGCAAACATTAAAATTGTGTAGAATAATAATTAATATCCTCATTATTAAGTAGTAATTTACCCCCAAGAACTTACAACCATCCTCTCCAGCTTAATGGTAGTAAATATTGAAGAGCTTCAGAAAATTACTGCAGGAAGATTCAGGATTTAATTGGCAGAAAGAAACATTAACCCCCACATACACCCCACCCCCAAAAACCAGTGAGATTTACTTTTAAAAAAGGACATTTGGAGAGAAAAAATGATTAAAATAATTCTAGCATCCTCAATGCAGTCCTGTTTTATAAAAGTTTTTTGTTAGTTTTTTTAATTAGGATTTCCTAAATATTCTAATTTAGCATGAAGCAATTCTAAAAAAGAGAGAAATTCTTATCACCTTTTTACTGGCTTAAAACAATTGACGCAAAATTATTTCAGCAACTATTTGATCCAATTGGCATAGTCTCATTTGTGTTTGTTTTTATCTCTTTTAAAAGGTTTGTTCATTTTAGCGACACTAAGTGTATGTGTTATCTATTATAAAATACTTGCAGCTAATATAATCATCTACTACCAGTAAGCAATATTTCTTAGAATTTAAAAAAAAAAAATGTTTTTTACAAATATATCATCAAAGATAGCTGAATCTCTTGGTGTCCTTAATAACAATATAATTTTAGTCTCAGATTTCGTGTAGTGACTTAAGTGTATGAAATAAATAGTTTTCTTAACTTAAAAATAAGTCTTATTTGATTCTTTTTTTTCACTCTTTGGCATTTTAATTGTGACACATTTTAGTTACTTATCATTTTTTTTTTTTTTATGCAAAAGTTTTGTTACAAGGCAAGAGATTCAAATATTCTTTGGCTTCCTGCAAAAATTCTTGGTTACGGTATTTATGTTGCCTTTATTGTGGTTCTTCAAACGAATTTTTTTTATTAATTTCACTTTGTTAAATCTGTTCAGGCTTAATTATGTTTTAATATTTAGATTTAATTATATTTTTTTCCAGCGATTAATAACAAGCAAGTCTGAATATAATAATATTAATAATAGTAAACGCAAAAATGAATAAATAGTCTGTATTCAGCAAACTATTTAGGATGGTGTTCTTGCATTTAAGGCTTCCAACTGATGACACCACTCTCTTTGTTGGTGTGCATTAACTTTTTTTTTAGCCACCGTTCTAGACACTGCTGGGACAAGATTATGCTTAATTTCTGGCTATTATTATTGTCAGGAACAGAGCTTTTACCAGCCGAGCCGTCGACTTATGTTTAAATTACCGGTATCATTTTATTAAAACATATTTAACATTTCAGGTTAACTGTCCTTACATTCTCAAACCTTACCTGTCCCAACTGGGCACGGGGCAAGCATTCAGCCAGATGGCAAACTTTAGTGGGATTTCAGATGATTTGCCAGGTGTCCACATCACAGATGTGGTTCATAAGGGTTATATAAAAGTTGATGAAGAAGGAACCACTGCAGCGGCGGTGACAAGTGTGGTGTTGACCAAAAGGAAAAGAACCACAGAGGATAAATTGATATACTGCGCTGACCACCCTTTACTTTTTTTTAATAAAAGACAACAGAAGTAGTGAAATAGTTTTATTTTTAGGCAACATTCACACATTGTCAAGCAGCCTGTTGCTGTGACTACTCGTCCTCTGATTTCACTAAAAAATGTTGCTGTGTTTCTTTTGTCATTGCTGAAGCTGTCAAAACTATGTGCATTTATTTTGTGTATGCACTCTTTCATTTTGATACCCAATAATCGATTTCACTCTGGTTTGTTCTAACTTTAGAATGCATGAAATAGCTTTGCTTTATTGAACTGGATCTGTGGTGCTACAAATAATATTTTTGGAGCATGGATATAATTAATATAAACTAAAGTTTTCAAAATTAAATTCCCAGAGCTTAATTTTAGTTTTTATAATTTTACAAGATTTCTTCTATTTGGAATTTTTATGTGGGGAGATGGAATGATTTAATTCAATATTCTTTTACCTAATTTTACTGTTAAATCTCAACTTTTAAAAATGCCATTCAGCAATCACAATTTTATAAGGATCAAATTAAACATTATGAAGGAAATATTTTTTGTTCACCAGATAACTGACAGCTTTGACTTGAAATCCACTCTGGTATCTCTGGGCATGGGCGAAGCTTTTGATGAATCTGAAAAAAGTGCTAACTTTTCAGGAATGACAACAAAGCCAGAGCTTTACCTCTCTGCCGTCATCCACAAAGCTTACGTTAAGGTGAACGAGGAGGGCACCGAGGCTGCCGCCGCTACCGGGGCTGTCATGATGATGCGATGTGCCATGCCACTGCCCCCACCAACTGTCAAAGTTGATCACCCTTTCTTGTTTTTAATTAGAGATCTCAGAGCCGAAAGCAGCATTCTGTTTCTTGGTCAAATTAGTGACCCTTCAATTTAATTGACTGCAGCGCTTCCTTATCACTAGCATCTAAATTTGCATTAAATAACTATGAATATTTATATTCTTTTGTTCTTTTATCTATTAACATAGTTTAATTATTAACTTTAAAAAATTGCAAATAAAAGGCCCGCTTTCTATTTCCATTACATTTTTGTCAAATTTTTTTATATTAAATAAAAACTATTTACTCTTGGCTCACGAGGACTAAATGAATGTATGACATTGCACTTAAGGCTGACTATTCAAGCATAGTCATATCCATGTGAAGTCAAGACGCACATATCATAAGTCTGTTCAGGTCCATTTTGATTAATATAGTTAGAAAGTTTAAAATAATCTGGGCCATAATGGTTTTGTAAAAGTTGATGAAGAAGGAACCACTGCAGCAGCAGCAGCAGCAACTAGTGTGGGGGGTGTGTGGGGGGGGTGTTGACCAAAAGGAAAAGAAACAAAGAAGAATATTTTTTTGTGATGGTATTTTATTATACAAAAATATTGTTTTAATTTTTGTTTTTATAAGAACTGTAATAATTATTTTCTTCTGTTTGTTTTTTTACGTACTCTTTCATTGTTACAATCTACTTTACTCTGCCTTGTTCCTCCTGTTAAGAGGTTGGAAATAGCTACGCTTGACTGAAGTTTTTATATAGTTCTACAAGTAATATTTCTGGAGAACTGCTATGAAAAAATATGTAATGAAAATTTTTGAATTATATTTTAGTTTTCACGATTTGCTTAAAATTTCTTGAGTTTGGCTTTTTTCGTTTGTTTGTTCAGTAATCTTTTTTATTTTTATGTGTGACAATTGAATTCATAAATTCAATCTTCTGTAACGTATGTTTACTGTTAGTTTCGTTAGGCCTAAATCTTAACAATGGGTTTTCACTTTAAAAATGTCATTCAGCAATCACAATTTTATAAGGATCAAATTTAACATTATGAGGGAAATATGTTTTTTTTCCAACAGATAACTGACAGCTTTGACTTAAAATCCAACCTGGCAACTCTGGGTATGGGTGAAGCTTTTGATGAAAGAAAAGCTAACTTTTCAGGAATTGCAAAAATGCCAGAGCTCTGCCTCTCTGCCGTCATCCACAAAGCTTACGTTAATGTGAATGAGGAGAGTACCGAGGCTGCCGCATTTACCGTGGCTAACATCATACCTGGCTGTGCCAAAGGGGTGCCCCTGACAGCCCTCAAAGTTGACCACCCCTTCTTAATTTTTATTATAGATCACCTAGCCAAATGCAGCATTTTGTTTCATGGTCAAATTAGTGACCCTTCAGTGTAACTGGCTCCAGCACTCCCTGAGCATTTGCATTTGAATTACTAATAAAAGCCACTTTAGTTCTTTGCTTAATTAACAGGGGTTAATTATTAACTAACAAAACATTGCAAATAATTATATATATATATATATATACTCAGATTAAGCTATATATATATAATATTATATTAGATGTATTTTATCCCAAAACATCTCGATTTTCTTTTTTTTTTAAATTCAATTAAAACTCATTGCACATGGCACGTGACGTGACGACTGAATGAAATTATGATATTGCACTTTGAAGGCCGGGTTTTCAAGCATAGTCATTCCTATACATGTGTAGTCAAGATACACACAACATAATTATTATTCTCTTCACTTCTATCAATGCTATTCTGAGTACAGATTTCAAGTTAAAAATCATTTAGGACGTTTAGTCATCGTTAAGTGCGAAGGAAAACTCCTCTTTTTTATAAATAGGCCTTTCTTTTTCTCTTTCTTTTTTATAAATAGGCCTTTCTTTTTCTCTCTCTTTGTTATAAATAGGCCTTTCTTTTTCTTTCTTTTTTATAAACAGGCCTTTCTTTTTCTCTTTCTTTTTTATAAATAGGCCTTTCTTTTTCTCTCTTTTTTATAAATAGGCCTTTCTTTTTCTCTCTCTTTTTTATAAATAGGCCTTTCTTTTTCTTTCTTTTTTATGAACAGGCCTTTCTTTTTCTCTTTCTTTTTTATAAATAGGCCTTTCTTTTTCTCTCTCTTTTTTATAAATAGGCCTTTCTTTTTCTCTTTCTTTTTTTATAAATAGGCCTTTCTTTTTCTCTTTCTTTTTTATAAATAGGCCTTTCTTTTTCTCTTTCTTTTTTATAAACAGGCTTTTCTTTTTCTTTCTTTTTTATAAACAGGCCTTTCTTTTTCTTTCTTTTTTATAAACAGGCCTTTCTTTTTCTCTCTCTTTTTTATAAATAGGCCTTTCTTTTTCTTTCTTTTTTATGAACAGGCCTTTCTTTTTCTTTCTTTTTTATGAACAGGCCTTTCTTTTTCTCTTTCTTTTTTATAAATAGGCCTTTCTTTTTCTCTCTCTTTTTTATAAATAGGCCTTTCTTTTTCTTTCTTTTTTATGAACAGGCCTTTCTTTTTCTTTCTTTTTTATAAACAGGCCTTTCTTTTTCTTTCTTTTTTATAAACAGGCCTTTCTTTTTCTTTCTTTTTTATAAACAGGCCTTTCTTTTTCTCTCTCTTTTTTATAAACAGGCCTTTCTTTTTCTTTCTTTTTTATAAACAGGCCTTTCTTTTTCTTTCTTTTTTATAAACAGGCCTTTCTTTTTCTTTCTTTTTTATAAACAGGCCTTTCTTTTTCTTTCTTTTTTATAAACAGGCCTTTCTTTTTCTTTCTTTTTTATAAACAGGCCTTTCTTTTTCTTTCTTTTTTATAAACAGGCCTTTCTTTTTCTTTCTTTTTTATAAACAGGCCTTTCTTTTTCTTTCTTTTTTATAAACAGGCCTTTCTTTTTCTTTCTTTTTTATAAACAGGCCTTTCTTTTTCTTTCTTTTTTATAAACAGGCCTTTCTTTTTCTTTCTTTTTTATAAACAGGCCTTTCTTTTTCTTTCTTTTTTATAAACAGGCCTTTCTTTTTCTTTCTTTTTTATAAACAGGCCTTTCTTTTTCTTTCTTTTTTATAAACAGGCCTTTCTTTTTCTTTCTTTTTTATAAACAGGCCTTTCTTTTTCTTTCTTTTTTATAAACAGGCCTTTCTTTTTCTTTCTTTTTTATAAACAGGCCTTTCTTTTTCTTTCTTTTTTATAAACAGGCCTTTCTTTTTCTTTCTTTTTTATAAACAGGCCTTTCTTTTTCTTTCTTTTTTATAAACAGGCCTTTCTTTTTCTTTCTTTTTTATAAACAGGCCTTTCTTTTTCTTTCTTTTTTATAAACAGGCCTTTCTTTTTCTCTCTCTTTTTTATAAATAGGCCTTTCTTTTTCTTTCTTTTTTATGAACAGGCCTTTCTTTTTCTTTCTTTTTTATGAACAGGCCTTTCTTTTTCTCTCTCTTTTTTATAAATAGGCCTTTCTTTTTCTTTCTTTTTTATAAACAGGCCTTTCTTTTTCTCTTTCTTTTTTTTATAAACAGGCCTTTCTTTTTCTTTTTTAATAAACACACTGGAAAATGATAAAGACATAATGATAAACGTGATAAATCTAATTTAACTGTGATGATACATGCAATGCAGGCCTATAGATAATACTCAGATTAAGCTGTAGTAACTGATGTAAAGAAAAATTTGGGGCACTTCACCTGGGTGGTTTTTTGTATACCACAAAGTGGATCTCTCCTTGGGTAATCATCTTTCATGATACTCTTTCAAAGAGGAATCCCCAGTTTCATATAAAAACCAAACAAAATAAAAATAAGGTTTTCTACTGTTAGTTACTGATAGCTAGCAATAGTGGATTTTTTACATTTTCATGTGGCACTTGCTTCTTGTTGATGATAGCGTGGCACTTACTTCTTGTTGATGATAGCATGGCACTTACTTCTTGTTGATGATAGCGTGGCATTTACTTTTTGTTGATGATAGCGTGGCACTTACTCCTTGTTGATGATAGCGTGGCACTTACTTCTTGTTGATGATAGCGTGGCACTTACTCCTTGTTGATGATAGCGTGGCACTTACTCCTTGTTGATGATAGCGTGGCACTTACTTCTTGTTGATGAATGCATGGCACTTACTTCTTGTTGATGATATTCTTATTTACTTAACAGTTTTACTATAATTTGACCAACAGATATAACTAATATGTAAGAGAACCTCACATTTTTAAAATTCTAATTAAATTACAATTCTAAGATTTAACCCCACATTTTATATAAAGTTTTTTAAAGTTAGCTAGGTCTGACACAAACCTTTAGAAGTAGAATTATGCCGTGCGTTGAGTATGCATCTTCGTTTTATTTGTATTAAATTGTATGTCTTAGTTTCATAAGCTTTTAAGGTTATTATTTAAAGTTACACATTTTCTTTGTTATTCATTATTAAACCTTTGATTTTTTATTTCCTTTTTTTTGTTGTTGTTGTTGTTGTTGTTGTTGTTGTTGTTGGGGCCATAATTGCTCATAAATAGTTTTACTACCAAATGATTTCACAATGATATTTCTATGATAATAATTCTATTTTTATCTCAGGCATCAAGGCTAGTGTCTTTCTATGATTTGTTCAATGCAATCAATAAATGAATAGCATTTTAAAATGACAGGCACTTTCTCAATTTGTTTTGGTTTGTGTGTAGTGTGTTTAATAATGTCACTGAGTGAGGACTGTGTTTGTATTATTTGTCATTTGTGATACCAACTCCAAGTTAACCAAGAAAATAATTCAAGAATTACATTTTAAATCTTTTTACCTGGGGGTTTGGTTGGAAGTTAATTGGATATGAATTTTAAAACTCCATGAGCCTCCTACCTCATGTTGGGGTGGAGAGTTTTACACAAATTGGAATCACTTGAATATTTGGTACCGTACTATTTGCATACCGGTATATACATTTTTTAGATATTAAACAACTCTGAGATGTTTGTTTTTCCATTACGTCATTTTAACTTTTTACTTTAGAATTTAATATATATATATAGGCCTATATATATTGATATACCAGTTGCTGTTTTTTTGTTGTTGTTTTTTTAACTATCTAACGCCAATGCGCTCTACGCGGTCTAAGGCGGCTGAACTTAGCCCCAAATGGGCAGCACTTCCAGTGTTTTGAGATAAAATCAAGGAGTCGGACAGGGCTGCGTGCCAGCCTTGTTGCTGTTCATCATTCCCATTCACAAGGACAAAATCGAATTGAATTGGATGGCAATCTGAATTCTGGGACACTAAACGAATTTATGTTTCTAGATGAACAACAATGTATCCTGAAGGACAACGAGCGGCAGAGCCGTGTAGAGGACAACAAGGAATAGCTGCAGAGCCGTGTAGAGGACAACAAGGAATAGCTGCAGAGCCGTGTAGAGGACAACAAGGAATAGCTGCAGAGCCGTGTAGAGGACAACAAGGAATAGCTGCAGAGCCGTGTAGAGGACAACAAGGAATAGCTGCAGAGCCGTGTAAAGGACAACAAGGAATAGCTGCAGAGCCGTGTAGAAAGTACCTTTGAGTTTTATGGTATAAAAATCAGCGTAGATAAGACTATCGTTATATCAGTAGGTCGTAGATAAGACTATCGTTATATCAGTAGGTCGTAGATAAGACTATCGTTATATCAGTAGGTCGTACCCTAGGGGAAAAATGGTCAGCTGATAGGACAACGCAAGGGCTTGAAATATCGGGAAAGCATTTTCACTGAAGATGGAAAAATATAAAATTAGAGACAAGAGTGCAGAAGTCAATCAAAGCAAATGACCCCGCTTCTAAGACACCCAAGAATAAAGAGGGAGGCCACTGTTACGCTTCTCAACACTGACT